CACGCCCGGCTAATTTTTGATTTATTGTAGAGATGAGGTCTCGCCAAGTTGCCCAGGCGGATCTCGAACCCGCAGGTTCAGGCAATCCACTCACCTCAGCCTCTCAAGGCGTGGGATTACAGGCTGAGCCACCGAGCCCGGCTTCTGCTCAGATTTTAAAACTCATTTTTATTTTTTATCTGGCTTCCTAGGGATTGCTTCTGTGTTTGCATGGCATAGTGGGCAGCCAGTGATGTAGGCCATGGTTGTGCTCAGTCAGACACTTCTAGCCGAGGCAGCGTCCCACTGAAGCATGTGGGTGGGGAGCTCCTAGGTGAGGGGGCACATCCCAAGTACAGCCACCCAGTGTCTACTTTCCCTTTCTGGGTCCTGGAGCATCCAACACCAGCAGTAGCTTCCTGGAGAGCCAGAGGTTGTGGGGAGCCAACCCTTCAGGGGTCTCTCATCTTCAGGGTCTCCCTCCAGACATCTGGCTGCTCAGTGCTCAGCCCAGCTGGAATCACAGCCCCAGTTGGCTTCCTTGTCAGTTTCCATTCACCTCACCACAGTGAGCCACAGGCTCTGGTCCCATTCTCTGTCCCACATCCCACCTCCCTGCCGCTGGTTTCTGCAGCCAGCTGAGAGAGCGAGGAACGCTCTCGCGTTTACTGACCCAGGCCGGGAGCAGGCAGACTCCCTGTCCTGACCTGCACTGAGCAGTTGTTCAGGGGTAATCTCTTCTCAGTGTGTTGTCAGCTTTGGCCAGTTTCCAGAACTGAGTCGATGAGTTTTGATAATTTGGTCCAGTTTAGCTTTGTTTTTCTGTGGGAGGGTTTAATGGCCTCTGCCTGACTGCAGCCAGAAACCAGAAGCATCTTTGGTTCTAAATATTTGTTTCAGGGTTCAGTCCCTGCTTACTGTGGAGGTTTCCTTAGATGTTGTGAGGTAGGTGAGTTGGAAACCCAGTGTTTCCCATTTCCTTCTGAGTCCAGTCCCTCATCCTCACTCACTGTGCTGCTCATGCTGCGTGCAGGGACTTTCCCCAGTGCTCTCTCTGCTCTGTTGGCCATCTGCCAGTTCTGTTTGTTTCACATTCATCTTACAGGCACACCATCAACTCGACAACTTTTCATGGTTGGAAATTTCCATTGTTTCCATGTTTTTCATATTTGGTTAACATCCTTGTGGCCGGACCTTTGTACATATTACTACTTTTGAAAACCCATTTGTTGGATGCATTTGCTGGGCTAGAGAGTCTACCCAACATGAAGGCTTTTCGTGTTGCCAACCCAGCCTCCAGTAGGGGTGGGGTGGCAGCAGTGGTGTTACAGCTACCAGGTGGCTCTTTGGCAGCCTTTCCTGTTGAATGCTGCTTTTGCCTTTTCCAGCCAGCTTCCACTGAGGGCATCTGGGCACAGCCTTGGCTCTCCTGGTGCCCTGGTTTTAGCAGTGGCGGGTGGCGCTTAATCTGCTCACTTCTTTGTTTGGCAGATGAAAGGTCACAGTGTGTCCCGTGTTGCCTCTCTGTTCTCTCTCTGTGTGTCTTGGTTTTGGTTTTATTTTGCTAGTTCACTCATTCCTATATGTGAGGGCATCACTGTTTGATAACTGTTAGCTTGGAGGGGACTCAGCTATATGAGCACACGCATATGCACACCCTGACACATGTGGTTCTGACAAACTGTGGCTGTTTGGGGCTACATGACGAGCTTCCATCGTAGGGTTGTGTGCCCATTGGCACTCTAGCCTGGAAAGCTGGGAGACTTGGGGCATCTTCTCAGAGGTGCCAAGTTCATCCTGAGAGAAAGTGAGTGTGTGTGTGCACATTTGTATACATGTGTGGGAGTTCATGTACAATGAGTATGTGTATGCATGAAAGTGAGTATGTGCATGTGTGCGTGCATGTATATATGCATAAGAGCGCATTGTATGTATATGCTTGTGTGAAATAATGTGTACATGCTTGTGTGTGAATGCCTGTGTGCACGTGTGTGTGAGAGAGTGCCTGTGGATGTATGTCTGATGGGCTCTCTGTCTCTCCCTCTGTGGCAGTGCCCAGGTGGATGGCCATACCTGAACCCTGACCCTGCGGCTCTCTGCAGGTTCTCGCACGGGCAGGTGGTCTCCCTGGATGAGCTGCGCCCCTTCCAGGACCCGGACCTGAGCTCCCTGCGGGCTGGCTCTGCGTGTCTGGCCAAGCACCAGGACGGCCTCTGGCATGCAGCACGGATCACGGGTGAGGCTGGCCACAGGGCCTCTCCAGTGGCTTCCACGGAACCAAGGACCCTTTTGGGGACCCCCTCCCGGGCATCACGTGTGTTCTTACCATGTGGCCTCTCCCACCTCCCTGGGATTCTGGATCTGGGCCTGACGTGAGCGGATGTGCCTAGCATCACCTGCCCTGCTCCCTCCTTCCAGCATGCCCCTGATCACTGGCACCTTCTGTCCCTCCAGATGTGGACAGCGGCTACTACACGGTCAAGTTTGACTCACTGCTGCTGAGGGAGGCTGTGGTGGAGGGGGACAGCATCCTGCCCCCACTGCGCACAGAGGCCGCTGAGTCCTCTGACTCAGATGGTGGCGACATGGATGATGCCAGCTATGCCAGAGGTTTGCTGCTGCTCGGGATGTCCAGAGTCAGGAGGGTGGAATGCTTACCCTGAGAGCTCCGACTGGGGACCCGTCCAAACAGATGGTCTGCCAGTTTGGGGCAGTGTGGCTGTGCCTCTCATGGAGGCACTGGCTAAGGGGCAGAGGAGCAGGAAGGCCTGAGTAGGTCCCAGGATCCACAGGGCAGTACCCAGCCTTTGCCTCCAAGGAACGTGTGGGCAACAACTGAAGTCTCACTGACATGAGGCTGTGGCCACACCCTGCTGTTGATGCGGGAGCTGCCAAGGAAGTCACAGGAAGGCACTTCTCAAATGTAGGGCCTGGGTACCCTATGGATCCTGGCAGGCTAAGAAGAGTGTCCACACGACCAGGGTGGAAGTTTCAGGAACTTTCCAGCCCTCAGAGATCAGAACAAGATGGGGAGGTGTCCCGGGATGTGAGTTGTGAGTGGGGACTAGTGGGCAGTGCCCGGCCCTCAGGGATCAGAACAAGACGGGGAGGTATCCCGGACCTAAGACATGAATGAGGTTTCTGAAACCCCATCTGTGGTGATGGGAGCGGAGTGAAGTTGGCAGCTCTCCATGAGGGAAGGAGGCACTTGCATCCAGTAAGGTGGGAGGACCAGGCGGGGTGGTATGGTACAATCAGGTGCCACCCTGCGGTTCAGCAGTCTGTGGGGGTGGCTAAGCTCTGTCAGTTGTCACCACAGCAGGCCTGGGTGACGGGCCAGAGCCTGAGGGTGGGACTGGGGCTCTGCCCAGGAGCTGAGCTCTTGGGCCAACATGGGCTGGAGCCCGGGTCACAATGCAGCGACCACTGGCCTAACCGAGCCACTGTCCTGTCTCCTGCAGTGGTGGAGTCAGGCACGGCAGACACCAGGCCCTGCAGCTCTGCCTTCGCTGGCTGGGAGGTGCACACACGGGGCATCGGCTCCAGGCTCCTCGCCAAGATGGGCTACGAGTTTGGCAAGGGTGAGTGTGCATGGCCCTGGGTGAGACGGGCTGCCGCGGCATGGCCTTGGGGTCCGGCAGCAGCAGCAGTACCAGCCTGTGTCTTTTCTAGGCCTGGGCCGGCATGCAGAAGGCCGAGTGGAGCCCATCCACGCAGTGGTGCTGCCTCGTGGGAAGTCGCTGGACCAGTGTGCAGAACTCCTGCAGAAGCTGCCTAGGCACGGTGGGACTGGTGCTGGGAGGTCCCCCAGGTCCCGGGGAAGAGGGCGCAGGCCTGGGGGTCGCCAGCCCTCTCGGACTGTGTTTGACTTCTTGAATGAGAAGCTGCAGGACCAGACAACTGGGGCCCCGGAGCCCAGGGGAGCCCTCCCAGGGAGGAGGAGCAAGGACATATACCATGCCAGCAAGAGCGCCAAGCGTGCCCTGAGCCTGCAGCTCTTTCAGACTGAGGAGAAGATCGAGCGAACCCAACGGGACATCCAGGGCATTCGGGAGGCACTGGCCCGCAACGCCGGCCGGTACGTGTGGGACCCAGCACAGGGTAGAGAGGGCAGCTGGGTTAGCCAGGCACCAACACGTGTATGAGCACACCAGGCCTTCGCATGGCAGGCTGATTCTGAGGGGCCTGCATAGTGGCATGGCAGTGGGCAAGCACCTGGGGCGGGTGCCTAGGCCTGGCTGATGGCAGCCCTCCCTAGGCACAGTGTGGCAGCGGCCCAGCTGGAGGAGAAGCTGGCAGGAGCCCAGCGGCAGCTGGGGCAGCTCCGGGCACAGGAGGCGGGCCTGCAGCGTGAGCAGAGGAAGGCAGACACTCACAAGAAGATGACTGAGTTCTAGAGGCCCCACGAGCACTGTGGACAGAGCCAGGGACTCTGGCTCTAGCCGTCCTCAGGAAGACAGCTGTTGTCCAACAACCAGGACGCCAGCCACTCCAGGCCAGCCCCCTTGGCCCTTCAGCCTGGGGGTGTGGAAACTGCTGAGAGGAGATGGGCAGCGGGGTTGCACCTGGACACTTCCTTGCCCACCCTGCCATTGGCATCTTCTTAGCGAGGACATTAAAGTGATTTCATCACAGTGTCATTCAGTGAAGACTGGGCTGGCTGTGGGGTCTCAGGAGAGAAGAGTCTGCACGGGGCTGTGTGGCAGGTGGTCTGGGCTGAGGGCCTGAGTGGGGCTGCAGCCCCAGCCTGGGAGGGCTGGCATTCTCTCTCTCTCCCTTCTCTAACTGAGGCGGGTCAGAGCCCAGGTTGTCTGACACCCACAACCTGGGAGCTCAGTGCTGCTCCAGGGGTGGGGAGCACTGTGCTCCCATGGGGAGTGCTGCTAGTGAGGCAGGGGACGCGGCCCCATGGGCTTAGGGGTTCTGGGCCAGGGCTTGGCACTGATTGTCCAGTGCACCTACTCTGCCTGCCTCCCTGCCATGTGGGGGGACGCGGGTTAGGCTCTCATAGTGGTGCTGGCTTGGGGCTCTTGCAGAGCCCGTCTAGATCTCAGCAGGCGCAGCAGGTGGGTGGGAGGCTGTGGGCGGTGGCAAGCTGACAGGAAGTGAGGCAGGGGCTTGCTGAAGGTGCACAAAGGCCTTCCTGGCTTGACCTGACAGCTGAGGAAGAGCTGGCGGTGGCCTTGGTAAGTGCCTGGACAGGTCTCCCAGCCCCTCAGTGCCCTCCTGGGGGCAGCTGAGATCCAAGTCAGTGCTTTGGGACCTGGCTGTGGCCTGATTGGTCCTTGTGAGAGAAGCCAACTCCCCAGGTTTGGGCAGACAGGCCCTGACCTCCAGAGACCACTCCTTACCCAGTGCCTGCCTCTGTGTTGCTGGCCTGTGTCCCCAGCCCCAGAAACTCTGCCAAGACCCCAGGAAGGTAACATCCTGTGTTAGGGATGGTGGGAGAAGAGAAAAGCCAGGGAGAAGTGGGTGGGGGCACTCAGGGCCCAAAGCAGCCCTTTCCTGCCTGCTGGCCCCGCCTTGCCTTTCCAGTTCCTCAGGGTGCTGGGCTCTTCGGTGAGGCGTGGGGGCATTGCCGGGGTGTTGGGGGGGGAAGCCATGTCTGGGCAGGGGGCGCCTGCAGGCAAGGTCTGAAGCCTGTGGCAGAGGTCCAGGGGCTTCCCCATATTTTGGGTTTGGGCTGCAGTGACCACAGTGCAGCCTTGGTAAGGTCACAGCTGCCCTGGCCTCCTCTCTGGCCACACTGGGTATTGCCACGGCCACCCTCCCATCTCTGCTGGGGCCCCAGCCAGACAGAAGGGTGGGCGCCTCCTGGAGGGAGGGGCTGTGGAGCCTTGGGGCTTCCTGTGCTGAGTCAGAGCCGGAGAGGGAGGACGGGGCCCCAGAGCAGGGCTGCCCTGGCCAGCTCCAGTGCCCCGCTCCTCTGCCCCCAGGCCCAGGTTGCACAGGATGGAGCTGCAGATATCCTCAGCCCCTCCTGCCCTCTGGGTCCTGGGTTGCTGCTGCCTGTTCCTCTGGGTGTGGGTGCTGTGCACGGCCTGCCACAGGTAGGTCCTCATCGGCTCCTGAGGGACTGGGCTCTACCGCCCCTCCACCACTGATGGGGGGTGTGGGCTGGGGCAGGTCTGTGCGCCCAGCTCTGCTCCTACCTTCGGGCCTTGGAACAAGGCTGATGGCTGGTCCCCACCTCCACCCCCTCCCCCCA